TGCGGTCGAACCTCCTTGCACGACGTTTAGCATTATGAGGAGGCCTGCATTGAGAAGCAGACTGGTGCTCTATGGGTTTGACCCTTGTGATGCTCATACAAAGGTGGGGAACTTGCTTTTCCTTCGAGCCCTTCAAATCATGAAGAAAGCCTCCATACACAGAGCAGCTGGGCTCCTTGAGCGCCCCTTTTCCGCACTGAGCAAGTTCTTGCCGCCCTATCAGAGAGCATTGGCATGGCCTGGAGCGTGTGAAGTGAGAGTTGATTCATGCCAGTACGGCTCTATACATCAGGAGTCCTTCAGTCTGCTTGGGGTCAATCTGGACCTCCCTGCGACTGCTAGACGTTGCCAAGGAAAGTGCCAACGCGTGACCATTCAGGGAGTCTACACCAAGGCCTCGGCTATCTACACTCCTGAGCTCGCTGCTGCATTAGCTTGGACCTCCCAGCATTCAATCTCACTCATAAAGAAGCTCAGAGCAGAGGAACTTGCAGGACCAGTTGGTGGTCTTGAAAATCAGCTGGTCAACGAGATTATGGTCAGCAGCTCCTGGGAAGTCAAGAAGTCTTGGAAGTTCAAGAAAGATGCCCATATCAACCTGCTTGAGCTCAAGGCTGTGCAGAAGCTGGTGGAGGATCGTGCTCGTGCTGGGCCTGCTCGCTTTGTCGGCCTTGTTGACTCGAACGTTTCCAGGTGTGCTCTTGGAAAGGGTCGCTCTGCATCGAGATCAATCAGCAGTGTTCTGCGGAGGATTGCTCCTACCCTGGTCGCTTTTGGCCTGTATATGGTGAACCCCTTCTGTCCAACACGACTGAATGTTGCAGATGATCCAACTCGCTGCCGACCAGTCAGAGATGCTTCACCTGGCTTGAACTGGAGAGATCTTCCTATCAAGACTTTGTGGGATCTCGCGGAAGTCAAACCTACCAGAAAGTGGGCTTCAAACTGGCTACGCCTGAAATTGCTCCTGTCTAAGTTGCAGGTTCTGCCCATGGCCATGTCTTCGTCTAGACTTCCTTTGCTTGACAGCCCCTGCTTGGTTTTTGGGCCGTCCGGCAATGCTGAGAGATGTCCGCAGTTCGTCTTTCACGAGATTGACTTTGACTCCACGCTCGGCTTTCCAGGTGAAGGGCCACCACAAGCCACTTGCTGCTTTGGATTTCTTTCGTCTTGGACTTTGCCAGCATTGCTCCTCCTTCAGCTTTTCTCTCCCTTCACTCTTGCCTGCGGCGCTTCCTCGCTTTCGCTGGGGTTCCCTTCTGCTGGGGTGCTTGCCTTAGGTTTCATCCCGCCAGCCGGAGCCATGTTTCCAGTGACGGGCTCAGTTTGAAAGCTGGCTTGAATGTGAAGGTATTGAATTTTCTTTTCTTTTGGAGCAGCATGTCTTGTTTGTCGATGAAATCAATGCAGTATTAGCTAGATATGGCAGAGCTCTATACCATGCTGGAAAGCCGTATAACCAATTTGCTGAAACTGTCAACACCTTGACCACAAAGAAACCCGCCTTGCGAAGACTTATGCAAGGGGCCTGGGACGTCACGTCGCCATGCCCTGGCAAGTTTTGCTTGGAATGCTGACAGTAAGCCCAACCTGGGGCTGGACCTTCTTTGCTGGCGCACTAGCTCTTGCGTGGGGAGCATTGCTCCGTCCAGGGGAGATTTTTGCTTCATCTAGAGCAGAGCTTTTGTTGCCGCGTGATGTTGACAATACAATTGCATTTGGACTGCTGGCAATTCAAGAACCCAAAACAAGAAGAACAGGTGCTAAGCACCAAGCAGCGAAGATCGATATTCCAGATCTTTTGAAAGTGGTTGATTTTTGCTTTGGACATTTGGCACCTAGTGCCATGCTTTGGCCTTGGTCGGGGCAGACTTTCCGGACACGTTTCCGTGATGTCCTGCTGGCTTTGAAGCTGCCAACGCAAAAGATTGGTGACATGAAGGCATTAGATCCTGGCAGTCTACGCTCAGGAGGTGCCACGTGGCACCTCCAGATGACAGAAGATGGGGAATATACAAGAAGAAAGGGTCGCTGGATTTCTGCAAAAGTAATGGAGATTTAAATCCAAGAGACTGCAGCCCTCCTATTTTTGAAGCGTATTCCTTCTTCTTCACGTGAGTTTGTTTTGAGTCTTGCTCATTTGTTCCTCCCTGTCTTTGCGAAGGTGCAATGGTACCGACAGCTGGGGATCGTGCCGACGGCTTGGAGAGTTCTTCTGCTGAAGGAAGAGCTTGGGTGAAACGGGAGAAGGTGGATGTGAAGAACGTGGGTGGTGTCACCTTAAGTGGTGGCACCCTGTGGACCTCGAAGAATGGAGAAAGAATGAGTGCTGCTTGAGCGAATTGTT